GTGGTTAAAGAATCAATTGAGCTTATCTCGTATTCTCAACCATATTATTATAGTGTTTATATCTATTGATATAAAAAATCTACCCCACATTATTTTACAATAATAACTGTCATTGTTAACCATTACTTATCAATAGTTATTGATTAAATGGCCTAGAAAGTTATACACTTTTATTGGGCTGCAATTTGAAAAAAAAAATTGTAGACCTATAAATTTCCACTATCGACCGTTCTTCCGTCGTTTGTCCGTCTTTTGTCTTCCTTTAATCTCGAGAGCAAAGTTAGATACGTGAAAGTCAAGACCAGAGATAGAAAGCTTAGAGCAGACGGCTCCGATTACCTATATAGGAACTTCTGATGAAAACCGGAAGTCACGTTATTTCAATTAAAAAATTTCTCCTGGAAGGAATTAGATAAGACCGACAGGAAAAGATTAATGTACAGGAGCAAATCAATTTCAAATTTACTCCATCGATCTTAGACAAATTATGAAAATTTCACGTGACTATTTTCCGGACTATTCACATATTTATAATTTTTCTAAATCGTCTTTTGTTTTTTGTCACGTCTTTGAGTGTGTGTATGATCATGAGCATTAAAACAAATGTAAATCAACATCACAACGTTAACTTTTAACGTAGTTCTAAAACAAAGAACATTATCTCACATCAGCAACAATATGTTAAATTTCACAACTGTTATAATTAAATCACACATTTATTTCAGATAACCACAGCTATTAAAAATACATTAAACTTTCCATTCAACCCAATATAATATTTACTTATTATTACTTATTAACCATAACATCTGAAAGCATCGCTGTACTGATTATAATGTCTTTAAATTTCTAAACATATCTTTATAAAGCTTACAACACTGAATCTAAGTACAGTGGTGCCTCGTATAACGTACTTAATCCGTTCCAGGTGCACGTCCGTTAAGTGAAAAGTCCGTTATACGAAACGCATTTTCCCATAGAAATACATATTAAAACATATAATTCGTTCCGCGGCATAGAATAACCGTGCTGTACCATAACAAAAAAATGAAAATGGAATAGTCACCAATTATGCCGGGTAGTCAGATTTTGTAAGAAGGAGGTGGAGGAACACTTTCTTCACACATTCATACAGATACAGACTTTTTACACATTGCAGCGGGACTTTTCTTTATTGTTTTTTAATCAGATTCAGATTCAGTAGAAGCTACCGAAGCTTGCAGGGTTAACTCCTATTGTTCCATCCTTTGTTTTTTCCCTGCTGGCTTCTTGAAAAACATGTCCAAGATGGTCTGTTTCTCTCTCTTCTTCAACACCTGTCGGAAATGACGGGCAAGGGTGTCACTGTAGAGATCATTGATTCTGTTGGCATCAGCTCTGTTTGGATAATGATTAATGGTAAACTCCTGAACTTCTCCCCATTGGACAAGGAAGTTTTTGTCAACTTTCACCTTTCTGTTTTTTTAGAAGCCATGATTTGCACAACACTTGAATAAATGTAGGGGAGACCGGGACAACTTCGGCATGCGGGGCAAGTTTGTCAAGCGCTTTTTTTTAAAAACAAATTAAAAGGAGACTTTGGTTATAGGTTAGGCAGTTGAGTTTTATTGGTGGCTTGTTGAGTGTAGTGTTTTTATTGTTCTCCAACAAGCGTAGTTGAATTATCAAGCAAATTTTCATTTTCGTTCAATTCCATATAATATTTTTTTTCCATTTATATTGAATTGGCAGGTTTTGTTATAATTCCATGATAACGAAAGTTACTTTTCCTGTTAGAAGGATGTAACTTCAACTTATTCACGTGGCCAGATCGTGGCTTGGCATTCTGTTCTCAGGGTTGTACTTAATGTTTCGAAATCATGACTAGCGGGGTAAGATCGGCAACATAAAGCCACATTAGAAGCAAAGGATAAAAATCAAACAGATGATAAATGAAAACATGTTTGCATTTGTTATTCATGTATATATGTCTTTGAACTTGCATTTCGTTGTAATAATATTAAATGGGTGTTGGATTTGTATTTCTTTGTTTTAATAGTGAATTCCAACTTATACATTGTTAATAACATAATTTTATATACGTGCCTATCTTGCCCCATTACTGTTGCCCCTATACCAGGGGCAACTTTAATAAAAATAATTAAAATAATTACAACTTTACAAAAAGAGAGAAGTTGCCGATCTTGCCCCTATACCCGGGGCAACTTCGTCAATTTCTCTCTTCTTGTAAAGTTGTAATTATTTTAATTATTTTTATTTCCAAACTGATTTTAACCAGTTCTATAGTAAGGTAACATTCCAATAGACAATATGCAAAGCTTTTTTTTCAGTTTACAGCAGTATTTATTACACAAAATTTAAGTAAAGCTTAACATGCCGATCTTGCCCCGGTCTCCCCTAAATATCCTGCATTGAGGTGATGTACGTAATAAACAAGGGAGCAAGCCTAATCCCAACGGGAGCTTTGTACTTCAGATATACTGATAATATATTCTAATAATACTAATATATTATAAAAATAGCAGATTGTCATTGGCAACGGCGAAAGAGTGGAAACATCATTCACACTTGTTCGTAGAAAGTCCATTGGTCGCCTCACGTAACGGCCAAACAGAAAGTTCGTTATTCGCAGCGTCCGTTATTCGAGGCGTACGTTATACGAGGCACCACTGTACTGTTTTACACGTATCGGATAATTTAGATGAGATTAAAATTTTCAACCCTATATTGTGACGATATCACAATAAATAATCGTTCGTTGAACATGTAATTTTTTCCAAATTGACTTGATTACGCACTTCCTATGCGAAACATTATTCTAATATGTGATTTGTGACGTCATAGTTTTGAAATCCTTTGTGTAACTAGTGTCTCGTGTTTATCCTCTTTCACCTAAAAAGTATGACGTAATAGACTATGTTACTAAGATTGCTCGATCTCGTATGCACAACGAACAAATTTTATTGTGATTAATGGCGCATTTAACATGCATAATGCACATTTCATGCATGTAAACGTGCGTGGTATATTTGTCATTCTTACATGCATATGTACGCGCATATATTGCGCTTTTAAAATTACTTTTGTTTTTTCTTTTATCAAGCGATTATGATATCCGATAAACATCCAAACAGGTGTCATCGTCTTTCTTATAAATGAGTTAAAGTCCTAAAAGAACTATAAAAGGTTTTGAACAAAATAATCAAGTTAACTTCTTAAAATTGCGTTGAATTCAGCTAATAACATTTTTCAGGAAAATAAAAATTACTTATCATGATGGTAAAAATTTTACATCTATCAGAAGTTTTATGATGTACAGAACCTGTACAGTACATTATATTTTTCTTCAATAAAATACTGTGTTTAGTAAAATTAATTCATTTAGTTTTACTTTACTAAACATTACAAACATTATTGTCCGTTATTCTTGACAGGCAAATTTATTGGGCTGCAAGTTGAAAAAATTGTAGACCTATTAATAAATTCCCACTGTCGTTCCGTCTATCTTTCTTTCCTTAATCTCGAGATCGGTGTTAAATACATGAAAGGAAAGGAAAGACTAGATATGAGTAGCCAATTGTCTCCCAGATTTACGGAAAAAATCAAAAAAAACGACAAAACTGAGGCGCAGATTTTTTGTAAAATAATTTAAATGTGTCATATTTTTCTTAATTTTTGCGCTAGAGACGCGCTGTCTTTTTATTTTGTCTATAAACACTTCTGCTTCTCTGATTATCGTATTTGTTTTTATAATTGATGAGAACAATTTTTTAAAAAAACAAAAGTTCGACGTATTTTCACTTAAAAAAATTAATTAATTTAAAAAATCGTATTGTTTAACATACTGGTTACAAAGTTGAAGTGTTTCTACGTCTATCAAAGAAACCGTCATTCCACCTTCAACAGAACTGGAGATGTTTGCTTTCAATGTTTAATTTATGACAGTGGAGTGTCAAGTTACACGTACTGTCATGGCGTTGACTCTCCGGTGTGATAAAAAAATAAAATAAAATAAGTATCGTTTATTTCCAAATATTTATGATTTATTAAATTGTTGCAATATAATTGCTTGGATTGGCTTTTGTTTAGGTTGTCTGACTGTACACCGACAAGAGTTCATCTCTAGTCATAAATATTCCGGGAATATTTCCATCTTCCTATAGTAAGTCTATGGGTCCTTCTTGCTGTTAATTGGCTTTAAAATTTTTGTTTAACACGACCAATTAGAGAGTAAAAGGCGTATAGAGTTAATAATAAATCGATTAACTGAAATCTATCTCAGAGAAGACTAATTCCAGAAATTATAATTTTTACGTAATAGGTCTAACAATGTATTTCCGCTATTGAGCTATCTAATTTTAAACACTAGTGTTAAGTTTTATTTATTACAGTACAGTACAAACAGAAGGCATAATTAATGAGTTAAAGCTTTGACAATGTTATAAAGGCAATCTCAAGCAGATTTTCGACTCTCACGACGATCAAACGAGCTAAGGATTTAGCAAAGTTAAAAACATATATATATAACAGAACAAACAATCTTTTAAAATCTATAACAAATAATTTTTGTGTTCATAGTACTTTATTTAACATTAATTTTACTATTATGTATTTTTTATTTGAATGAAAAGTTTCATCAGTACGTTCTAGATTGTAATGAAAGACTAGTGTTTGTTTTAAATAAATTAGACTATATTTATTAATTACCGGTATTAATAAGTATATTTATATTTTATATTATGATAAAAATTTAATTTGCATATCATGGAGGTCGTGGCTTACTATGGATTCTAAATATTTGACCGGAGCCCATAATTCTTAAGGCCACTGTCAAATCTTACAAATTACCACTGTAAAATAATGGAATTTTAATTCCGAGATGAGATATACTATGAAATAAAGCATCGAAGTAACAAAAATAACAAATACTTATTCAATTAATAATGGAGTAAATGAGATCATTTATTTAATACATAAAAAAAGATAACATAAAAATAGCAGTGTTTCATGTTTCGTTTTATTACTCTTCTTTTATCTTTAACGAAGTGCGGTACCTATAAAAAGTAAATCGATAAAATTTTATATTTAAAATTAAATTTTTATATTCTAAAAATATATAATTTTTTTAAAAATACTGTTCATAAACAGTTTTATCAGTTTAACTAGCGAAAAATGAAAATTCAATTAAATATATTTAATACATGGTGGCTCAAAAGTTAGTTAACAGTACTTTGTGCGTCTAAGTACACTTCTGAATACGAATCGTAAGTTAAGTTTAAATCAAAATATTTTTATTCGAAAAAAAACCAGAAATGATTTTTTAAATGCAATCATTCAGTTAGTTAATTGCAATTTAAGTTTTATGATAACAAACTTTTGGCCACCTGTATTTTTTTTAACTATTTAATATTTTGTGGGAAGACATGTATACTAGCAAAGAGTGCCCAGTGTTGCCGGGGAACTCAGGGAAATGACTGAGTTGTCCTCGTTACAAGGTAGCGAACGTTTCCTTGACAGAGAGTAACTATGCAAAATTTGATGCGAATCGGTCAAAGGTATAGGGGATGAAATCAGAGAAAAAGAGTGAGGTTCCGAGTTTTATGTAGCATATATGCTTTGGAGGATTGTAGACAATAGCTATACAAAATTGTCAATATCGATCAAAAGGTTTAGGAATTTCGAAATAAAGAGATAAAATCAGAGAAAAGAGAGAGATCCGAGTTTTAAGGTAGCTTACGTACTGTACACTTTATCGGAATTTAATAAGCTTTTCAATAGTCCCTTCACACGAATGTATTTCGTGATAACTGCGACTTTGTTTTAGGCATTTTACCATCGATAAGGCTCACTGGAACTTGTGTACGCCTGAAAAGTAACTGAAAGATCTCAGTTTATGTAGATACATATCTGAATAACACAAGACTAATTCGTATTTTTAAATAATGGTACGTAGGATCAATACTAAAACAATGAACAGAGAAAAATACTATAGACATATGTACAAAAATTTAGTTTCATCTAAGAGAAGTAAATTCGCTTTTTATAGTTGTAAGTATCTGATAACATAAGAATATTTATTATAATGAAAAACGAGTAATCAAGGTGTGAGATCTGAATTACCCCTGGGACTAATTAATAGTTTAATTATAAAGTTTAATTTTAAACGAAAAATATTCTTTGATTTTGGTGGGAAAATTAGGTTTTTCTAAACGAGGGAAACTAATAAAAAGTCACTTCCTGCAACGGAAGTTGAAACATTCTTTTGTTTTATCCTTATCTACTACAAATCTCAGCACCCTGGGAATTGTTAACCCCTCGATACATCCCCTTTTCCTCTGTTCACGTATACAGTACTTGCAAAACTGTTCAATTCCGTTAGTTACATTGAACATGGCCCGCCAGTTGCCAAGCGGTCTTCGTTCCCTGAACACTGGGAGTTTAATCGTGGGTTCGCGTTTCGCTCGGACGGGCCGGCGACGTGGAGTTTTCCGGGATTTCTCCACGTCTGTGACGCCTATATAAAGACCAATTTCCCTTAAAAAGATCTCCCGGAAGGCATTCTTCCTAGGCAGATCGTCCAAGTGTTGAGTTGCCATGCCTTAACTAAACAAACAAATAAACAATACATTGAACATTTGCTGAAAAGCGTTACATAGTTGTTTAAAACAAAAAAAAAAAAACTTAACAAAGATTCTTCATATAATGCAAGAGAGGTGAAACTACTGTACAAATCTATTCAGAATAGGCACTTTTTACTCTATTGTTCTCTAACTGGAATCGTCTGTAACTCGAAGATTTTCCTGCCCCTTGGCTCTTCGAGTTAGGAAGTTTTACTGTATAGCAGTCAATAAATGGTTTTGATAGTTCGCAAAATGTATGAGTAACTAAGATATTTCTTTCGAATGCCTCTGTTGAATAGTAATAAACTCTGGTCTTTAGGAAACAGTGTTTTTTCAAATAAACTCCGCAGGATATATACGTTTTAAAAATAAATCCCCGGAGATTAATCGTGGAAGTATGATAGTTTATGAATATTTGAAGTTTCTTATTAATTTAGTTTATTAATAGCTTATTAAATTAATTTTAAACGGATATTAAAAGTTTAAACTCAATAGCTAATGCAGATATGTAGCCATATCCTTTTTAAAAATTCTTAAACCCCAAGCTACTATTATTTTAAAGTATGAATTTTGTGTATTAGGAGATTGTCGCTATCAAATTTTAGTGATTAAAAGCCGAGAGGGTGGGAAAATAGAGGGATAACGTGTATCATAAATCGTGTAGGGTCAGATTTAATGAAGATTTTACTTGTTATTAGCATTTACAATTTTTTAAATAAAACTCATCCCTACTCTTAAAATTAAGATTCTTGTCATTTTATAATAATTAATTATATGAAAAGCTTTTTAATAAAATACCATAACAGATAGAGTTACAGGCAGTTTTAAATGTTGTCGGGCGAGTTAAGCGACTTGTTACTGGATTTTTCTTTATGATTTATTATTTCTCGCAATAAGGAATGTTCGTTACACAAATTTGCATTTTTGTATAGAATATATGAGAATATATAAACTAGTTTAGGATTTTTAGCTGCTTTGATTTAAATTGTGTATCTGAAAAACACAACAAAAAATAACTTCATGATTATAGTTTTCATATAAAATCAAGTCAATAAAACGAATCCGAGTTTAGTTTTGAAAACGACCAATAGCATATAACATATCTCTTGTCTTTAAAGATTATTATCCATTGAGTTAATAAAATAACTGTGTAAAATATAGTTATAAATAATTAAGATATAAAAATATTAAAACGTAAACTTACAATTTACTATCCATAATCACATCTCTGCAAATTATAAAGAGAATTGCAATGAATTACAAATACTAACAGATAAATCCGGCGGTGCTCGAGCAAAAAATAACAACAGCAAAGATTAAGATTATTACATTATTTCTTACTTCTAACCACTATATTATGTTATTTGATTTATATTTACAAAGGTATCTTAGATAAGGACCAATCTAACACATTTAGAGGAATAAAGAATTTTTAAACTGTGATTGATTGATCACTCGGTGTGATAAACCCTTACGTAAGAGAACCTTTGTAGTTATATAAATCAAATACTATAATATAACAAACATTAAAATGAAAACCGTATGATGAGTATGGTTATTTCAGCCTACCATTGTCACGTTTATTGCGATACTCGGATGATACGAAATGGCACAAATTCATTCAAGTTGACATGGTTCCTCTTGACCAATCTTGACCAATCTGACATGGTTCTTCTTCATTTGACCGATCCATTGCGACGGTCGGATGCCGAACGGTTAAGGTGGCAGCTTGCCGCTCAGGGATGCCCGGGATCGGTACCGGAAGGGTCCAAAAACAGCAGGAATTTTTCGGGTTGATCCGTGCGAATATGACGAAATTCGTTTCTCACCACTAAGCTACCCCGTTGTGGGCCTAGCCGAACTCATTATGATTAATCTCATAAATCCTCATTGGTCAGATTGGTTCAAAAATTGGTCAAGTAGACACCAATTGAAATTGTGGTATCTTAAATTTTTGAGATATCATATTTTTTTTTAATGTTAACTGTACGAAACTATCAATCACAGCCGAATATCAAACGGTGTTTACAGTTTACAGTTTACAGTTTCAGTTTACAGGTTTACAGTTTCTTACTATCGTCGTGATAGTAAGAAACTGCCACGGAAGAAAAAGACGGCCAGATAAGGAGAACATAGGGCGGCTCCAGCTCCTCACCCGCCTCTAACCAACTTACGTCTCCATATCAAAGCGAATCTAACTTACACATCGTATTAATCAGATCAGAGGTATTATTATTATATCCCATTGTAAACTATCTCTCAGTATTTAGAGTGTACTTAGTTTTAGCTTATTTCCTTTTGTACTTTATATATATATATATATATATGATATCTATATATATATATATATNTGTACGAAACTATCAATCACAGCCGAATATCAAACGGTAATCTGTCAACCAATCAAATTTCGCGAAAAACGGACCAAATATTTAAACTCTGCAGCTTCGAAAACCACGTAAAACGTATTTTGCGCTCATCGGTAACCTCATATTATGTAATTTTCCTATTCCAATGCCACCATACATGATCCGATAGAAAGAAGGGACTGTTGCGGAAGGGATTGAAGTAATTCGACCAAAAGTTGTCATTGATCTCCTCCCGGAAGTGAGCGTGGTCAACCACTACTAATTAATACTGGGCTACTATTAATGTTTGAAAAGTTATCCGTGTTGTACAGGTTGTGATGGCCTCGTACGTGATCGAAGTTGCTTTATGGGATAATAGTGTTTAAATTTTGGCAACAGATTGTATAAACTACATGGAAAGTATAGATAGATGAAAGTCAAGACCAGATGTGGAAATCTTAGTGCAGGAGGCCCAGATTAACCAATTTCGATTCAAAATTTTCCCTTGAACAAAGTTAGATAGATGACCGACACGACTCTATCTCTAACAGGAAAAGTATGATGTACAGGGGCAAAGACGCCACTAGTGACAAAAAGTTGCAGCCCGGCATTGTGACGACGTCACAATTGTGAGAGTCCAGAAGTGGAATAATTTTATTTTAGTAAGAACTTTTTAAAGTATTAAATTGATGACAAAATTGACACATTTTTATCAATTTCGTGGGAAAGAGAAGTAAAACTTCCTTTGGAGAGATGATATCACACATCTCCTACGAATATCTGTCCAGAGGCGTCAGAAAGAATATACCGTCAGATGATTAAAATTCCGAAACCCGATTGCAGGGGAATTTAGAATAAGAAGGAGAAAAATCACGATCTCAGAGAGGACAGTTTCTTACTATCGTCGTGATAGTAGTTCAAAAATTGGTCAAGTAGACACCAATTGAAATTGTGGTATCTTAAATTTTTGAGATATCATATTTTTTTTTAATGTTAACTGTACGAAACTATCAATCACAGCCGAATATCAAACGGTGTTTACAGTTTACAGTTTACAGTTTCAGTTTACAGGTTTACAGTTTCTTACTATCGTCGTGATAGTAAGAAACTGCCACGGAAGAAAAAGACGGCCAGATAAGGAGAACATAGGGCGGCTCCAGCTCCTCACCCGCCTCTAACCAACTTACGTCTCCATATCAAAGCGAATCTAACTTACACATCGTATTAATCAGATCAGAGGTATTATTATTATATCCCATTGTAAACTATCTCTCAGTATTTAGAGTGTACTTAGTTTTAGCTTATTTCCTTTTGTACTTTATATATATATATATATATATGATATCTATATATATATATATATATATATATATCCATTAAATTCTTTTTGTTATTTGTTAACCAATCTGTCTGTTCATTTGATTTATACGGACATCCGAAAATGCAATGATTGGAACTTACTCACGGCTAGGGAATTCGATCCCGGTCCTTATTTCTAATCTCGGGATTTCGGGATTATACTTATTCGATCCCGGGATCCCGGTCCTTATTTCTAATCTCGGGATTTCGGGATTATACTTATTCGATCCCGGGATCCCGGGATTATTTCGGTATTGAGGATTAATAAAAAATAAGAAAATCTTACAGAAATTAAAAATCAAAATTTAGACAAAAATCAACGTATTTTATGGTATACACCTAGTTAATTTAATCACTCTAATTAATCAGACTTACAGTCAGACTAACCAGACTTAAAATCACTGTCTTCATGTTAAATTTATTCTTTTTTAAGCATCACTGAGATCTCTTTAAACTCACATAAATTGAAAAAACTTTTATGTAACAAACTATGCAAATAAACCTTGAAAATTCACAAAAATCTCTCTTAACATCGACTAAATAGACTACTTTCATATAACAACCTAGTAAGTAGGTAGTAAAGTAAGTTTCTTAGCAAAAAGTATTTAAAAATAATATTAATCAGTCACATTTTTCTTAAATATAAAGAAAACTAATCTAATAGGAACATTCTAATTTGAATTGCGAAAATATGATCTGAGAAATAACAACGCATCCAGTGTCTCATCACCAAGTCTGCTTCTCAATTTGTTGCACATATATGCAGCTGCTGAGAAAACGCGTTTAGGTTTGATGGAAGTTGGAGGAATCGTTAGTAAATACTTATAAGCCCGTTCTAGTTATAGCTTCGAGGACACGGGGAGGTTGGAAGAAAACAGTCCGGTCGACACAGATCGGGATTGTAGGAGTAAAGGCTACAATCCCGATTGTTTCGATCATTGTAAGCATGCCTTTCTAAAAATAAACACGTTAATTTTGTAAATTCGGTCTCTGTGTGAGTCTCTCAGCATCCAGCAAACCACTACTCCCAAACGTAAAAAGACTTTCTCGCATCATCCTGACAGATCACGGGCAAGGCGGGGGTCGTAACCTTTTCACCTAAGGTCGACCCCCCTAAGCGAGAGGCGTCGGGTCTATATTAACCACACTGGCAAAACAAGATGGCTGACACATTGACAGGTAAAACGCACTGAGTAGTGCTCTCGACTGCGCCAGAAAATCGATTGGCGCCCGCGAAAATTCAAAAATACAAAAATGAAGTATATTACCAAGTAACCCAGTGAGAACTGCTTGCCTATCATTTTAGTTGAAAATACAAGAAGTTTTATTCCAAGCAAGCATCGCAAGCCCGCTAGGTTAATTTCTGCTGCTTGCTTGGAATAAAATTTCTTGTATTTTATATTAAAATGATAGGCAAGCAATTCTGTTAAAAGCACTGGCACTGAACGTTTCGCTTCATGCAGTCTATTTTGCAACTTTTTTAAAATGATGTCAATCCCGAAAATCCCGGGATTAGGAAAACTTAATCCCGAAAATTTTGGGACTGAAAAGTGGTCGGGATCCCGGGATCCCGATTTTCGAGATCCCGGGATCAAATCCTCTACTCACGGCTCTCCCAACTCAAATCAAAAACCCTCCTAAACGCCATCCATCGACAAAGAGAGCGGGACTTAAGGTCCCGACGACTAGAGGTTTTTACCCTCACCCCTATTCTCACACAATAAATAATCGCTCGTTAGCATTAGTTTGGTTTATTCGGTTACGCCAACGTGTCACGTGAGCGATCTGCCGAAGGGATGCATCCCGGAAAGACTTTTATGGTAAGCTGGACGAACCCTATTCAGATGTTACTAACATGAGACCCGGAAAACTCCACATGGCCAGCCCGTTGGCCATGTCCGAACCCACGATTGACTAACTACCAGTGCTTGGTGGTTTTAGCCACTCATCGGTAGCCTCATTAGGACGTTATTAGATATAAGAAAGTACCGTTCAGAAAAAAACGAGTTGTTAGATGTGAAAAAATTAAATACTTATAGGCTATTCATAGGCGTTCACAGGCTTAAACACATTTGCTTCCACGCAGCCAAGTGCTACATATGATCTATCTCAGTAATGATAGACTATAGCTCGCCTATTTCGCGCTATATCATTGTCGGGGTAATTAAGTAAATATAATATAGATTTTTTAAATTATATAATTTTTATAAGAATTATATTTAGTTTATTATTTTGTAAACTTCTTTGCCAACAAATGGCGCTACGAGTAACTCAGCAAATCGAATGTAGATAGCGATTAATTGATTTATAGAAATGCAATCGATATTTTGGGGTGGGATGTACGACATTATCTAAGTTAGAAGTATTTGAATGTAACTGTCGAGTTTCGTAGAAATTGGTCAAACGACCTAGGAGTGTATAGCGAACAATCAAGCAAACAATCAAACAAACATTCTCATATATATATGTATATATAGATTAGCAAATGAGCCCGGCGTTGCTCGGGCAAAAAATAACAACAAACATTAAGAATATTAGATTCTTTCGTACTTCTAAACTTTCTATTATATTAAATTATAGTATTTGATTTATATAACGAATGTTATCTTACGTAAGGGTTTAAAACACCATGTTCCTAATGTCACGCATTTTAAAAATTCTTTAAAATGCGTACAGTAGAGGAATGAATAATTTTAAAAATATATTAGATTGGTCACTTGGTGTGATAAATTTTCAGCAACATCTAATCATAGACAGTCCTCTTTTCCAGGAGGTGGTCAACGACTACCTTTCCTCGACCCCCTTCCGCAATGGATCTTTCTTTCTATCGGCCAGCTGTATGGTGGCATTGGAATTGGAAAATCCAAAATACGAGGTTACTAGTCTACACAAAATATAATTTAAATGGTTTTCGAGGGTGCCGAGTTAATATATTTGGCCCGTTTTTTGCAAAATTTGGCAGATTATCATTTGATATTCGGCTGTAAATGGAACCGTTTCTGAGAGGTAAAGAAAAAATCATGATAGGCTATCTGAAAAAATTTAAGATAACACATTTTCAATTGGTGTCTGCTTGACTAATAAAATTCTGCCATTTTCAGAAACATAATATTATTTTTAAAGGAAAAATTCTGTAAAGATAAATTTATTCATTTGATTTCTTAATATTTATTATCTAAAACATTTTACCTGTTTTTCTTTTTTTATCACATTCCTAATTATTAAAAAAATAATATATCGTAAGTTAACATTAATGATAAATATTTTAAAAATTATTTGTATTTAGTATAGTATAATAAAGTATTTGTACGAGGGTTAATTAATAAATAAGTTTTCTATTTTTATAAACTTAACTTAGGAAGAGGTAGAATAAACAGCAGTAAGCCTTGTCAATCGACCCTCGTAGAATAGTAGTTAATAATTAAAAGAATTTAATCAATCTTTCTTAATATTCTCATTTGCAATTTTTAGTTTTTTAGCCAATATATTTTAATTTAAGCTAATTTAAAAAAATTTAGATATACTTTTGATACAAACTTGATACAGAAAAATTATATTTAGGCCCATATAATCTACAAACACATATATTGGGGTTGAGGAGTGAGATAAGTGAAGTCAGGATAGGTTTATCATATGGTGTCTAAAACAAGAACATGTCCTCTAAAATGAGATGATTTTTCCTTTGATGCTGGAGAGAATATCCTGCATTTTGACTTTAAGAATGCCTTCCTCGCAGTCAAATAATCTATGATGTCCTCCTTTACAGAATAATTTGTTTTCCACTCGTAATTTTTTATCTAGTAAGCCTAAGTGATGCCAAACCAGATACAAATATATATATTACCAGTCCCCAATAGTCACCAAAACGTGTGAATAAAATGAATAAAAATATACATTTTTACCATTTTTGACAACAAATTTTAATTTATATTACTTTCAAATCATTTTTATATGAAAAAGTCTAAATTTTAGGACCTCTCTGTGGCAGATGCCCAGTGAAATTGCCCTTATACAATTATACAATTTTCAGTATCGTACATTATTTCCTAAGTTTTCACCAAATTGTTAAGCATTTCAGTACTGTATAAACTAATTTAGCAATAATATAAAGTTGCTTACTTTTTCAAATTCCAGATATTCCTGAAAAATGAAAGAAAAACAAAGTTATTTTTTTTACTTTAAACTAAACTTATTTATCTAAACCTTAATCAAATATATTTATTTTAATTTACCATTTTTATTAGTTTCTACACTTACCTCCCGAGCTATTGATACCAACTAATCAGGAAGACGAGGAAAGAAATAAAAATAAATTGTTTATAATAAACAAAATTATGAAATTATTTCATTCTAAGAAACTTTTTGAAACTATTGTTTAGAAGTTTATATACCGTATTCACACGAGAATAAGCCGCAAAACTATTTTATTTCTTTTTTACACAAATTTAAAAGATGGAAGTCGAGCAGTGGTTTATTGTCGGAAGAAAAATAGAAAACAAACTTCGTGGCGTGTGTTCATGTGGATGTCGATGATGTTTAGCACATTTCATCGTTCCAATTGTGGGCCTGGTTGAACCATAATAGTAAGTAGTAAATTGGCACCACGAGTGGACAGGCCTCTGTGGATAAAAAGAAACTGCAAATGTTTTGTTTATGGTTCTTTAAGCAATTAACAGCAATATATAGTTAAAGTGATACATGGTATGATACAATATAGAATTAACATTACCATATTTCACTGTAAATTTTAGCAAGGTAGTTTGTTTCACTGTAGGTTTATTCAAAATCTGAAGCAATAATGGTATGTTCAGTTCGACTGGTTTGCTTCCATTCGGAAGACGCATCTGAATCATCATCTCTATTGCTGATTTAACATTCCTTGAATGAATTAATAGCTACGGATCCGATGCGACCTCGATCCATTCTGAAACATCTAGGCTGATGTTCTCCCTTTTTCCATTTGAAGATACAATACGAACGTAGCTCGTGTTTATCTGTTTGTCACAGCTAGTATGACTATGATCTTGTGTTTCTCATAACCAGTTGTTTTCATTTTGATTTTTTTATTTCTTTTTTGCCGGTGTTATCTACTGTATAATTCCCTGACACATCGAACCAAATTGGAGTCTCAGTGATGTTACCGATCTATTCCATTAAAAAGTTTTCTCTTTTTTGGCGATCAATCATGTATTTCTAGAAATTCATGAGCTTATTTTCAGTCTGCTGGAAGTTTCTGTGCGACGAAAGTGCGTCTTTTTAGTGAAAAACCTTGTCGCTTCATGAATTTATCTAACAAACTTCTGCTTGTTCAGAATATTTCACGGGAAAAATCCATATATCGGGAAACGTCATATGTTTTAAGAGTAATTCTGGCTCGTGCCTCATATAAACCATCACAACACTATCATTGTTTATTTGCCGAACGCACAATATTTTATCATTTCTTCTTCCAGTTCTGAAAGGTGGCATTTCTTTCAAATTTCGTTAATGAAGCTCGACTTTCTCAATCTACAAATTTCACTTTCGTCAATTCCAATTTTCTCCACAGCAAAGATAGATGACTTTTTCTCGTATTTAGCTGTGTAAAAACGTTTGTCTTTTACTAAATCCTTTATGCAAACCACATAAACAAAGAGGAAAGACAAACGAGCCAATTAAATTAGCCCGTGGGAATTTGCATTTGATGGCGACATTACAGCTGGGCTTCAGAAGCATTCGCAACTACACCGTATTCAACTGTCACATAATAAGACACAAACTATTTCTGGAAGTGCGATCTAAAAACTAGTGGCTTATTTTTCGTGTAAATACGGTAAGTTATTTGTTTATAGAATTCTTATAAAAATCCGTGTAAAATAATCTGTGGAATTTTACGAATTTATAAATACATTTTTTTTTTGATAATATTCACATTTAAAAAATTAAACTCATGAGAAATTTTAAAAAATGAAAATTATAATTAAACTTTCTGTTTTTTAATCTTATTACTTTAATGTAATTCATGAACTTAATACAAAGTGTTTGGAGAGTCTCTGTACATTTTAAATGTTAATATCTGAAAACTTATAAATATTAAAACCTTACGATAAACACCATACGGAAGTTTGATTAATGAAACCTTTAAAGTGCGGCAGTAGAACATGTATCGGCGTGATCAATCCCCTTAGAAAAGAGGACTCCAGTGTCAGAGTGAACTAAATTCTTTCGAGATTCTCAGAAAGGGCACCAGCAAAACATTTTCCGCGAGTTTCCGTCTTAGTTACTCTAATGATTAAAGGTTCATTAAACTTCGACATTGCCGCTATCATATAACATACATATATTGTTCAGATCGATCTCTGAGAAATTACTTCAACTGTTGCTGAAAAATGTTGTCACATATCAGCTCTTTCAAAGAACAAGGTTTTCAGGCAGAGACAACTACTTTGACTCGATTGAGTGAGAAAAAATACAATGATGTTAGCATATGTCATTCCCAATCAAAGTAGTTTGAAGTAATCCCAATCAGAGGACTGTATAGTCAAATAAGGGCCCCTCATTACCAATTCAAGTGTCAGAGAATTCAGAAAACTTAATGTAGTAAATGTAGTAAATACTTCATTATTTAATGTAGTAAATACTTCATTATTTAAGCTTACGAATGGTGTTAACTATAAGATTGAACACTTAAGTTATTGAAATTTAAAATAAATTATAAATAAAATAAATTAATGCCATTAAAATTGAATTATTAAATTATTATTCTGTGAAAAGAAACACATAATTACTAAACTTTTACGTAATTATATCATTATTTATTACTCTGTAAATTTATTTCATAAATTAATAATTTATTAAAGTATTTAATTCGAAAGATTGAAAATAACTTACATAATTCATTAACTAAAATGTGCATAAAAATTTTTTAAATTATTTTGTATATTATACATTTGAAAAGTGCAAGTAATTATAGAGCATGTTAATAAACACTTAAATTACCGCTTGTCCTGCACGAGCCTAAAATTAAATATGTTATTATAACAAACAAATTTAAGAAATCTTAATTTAGTTAATTAATTAAAAAATATTCAGGATATTTATAAAGACCTAATTACTTAATAACGAATGATTATTTTAAATTTAGTGTTTCATACAGATCAAATACTACACAAATTAAGTATTTAATAAATTTTCGTGCATGAAAGCATCTTATGGAAACGGAATAATGAAGAAAATGTATCAAGTAATCAAGAAAATTATCAAGTTATTATAAAATGTATTCAGTTAGTAAAGACAGAGAAAATTTGCATTTCTAAGCATGTAAATTTAATAACCTAATATTCTTCACAACAGAAAATTAATATAGTAGAGCCCTGATTAACCAAGATCCATTTAAACGAAATAAATATGGAACAGTACTTTGCCAACAAAGATAAGAGAACTTTGTTTCATGAATATTGATAAGGGGATGAGTGATAGTCGATAGAAGATTCTTAGGCGAACTGCACATCAGAACAATACGATACATATTTTTAATCGTAAGAGATACGCAATAATTGTGAGATAGATATCGCTTGAGCGCGTTCAAATTGCGTAAAGTGTGTAAGTACCTGTAACCAATACAATTACATCTTTGTAAGATAGATGTATTAAGTGATACTTAGACTAGAAGTGGTATCAAAGATGTAAATTTTAAAATTTCTTTTAGTAAGATGGTAGAAAAACATCAGTTTGTAGAACTATACACTTAGAGTATAATAAAACAGATGTGACGAGTTTTGCCTGGAGACCATTCATCTTACAAAATTATTTAAATTTTGTTTTATGTTAAGACCATTCTCTTGCAACTACAGCGGAACTGCAGCGCTTTAATTAAATTATACGAATGCAATCAATACTTCATTTTCTTTTCTCTATTCTTCAAATACCAATACATCGCGACAACGTCATCTTCACTCGAATAGCTCATGATTACAACTGATTCAAAAAATATCTCTTGCTGATAGATAGTATCGATTAGGTATGTACCAAACTTATCATCTCAATAAAGTAATGATAGTACAATAAAGAGGAATTATTTGCTGGGGCTGCAATTCAATCATATTTTTAATTTATTTAATTTAAAATATATGTTATCCACATCAAATTAGTAGTGTCTTGTCCCTGTACAGTACAGTACAGACAGTACATAGTACTTTTCCTGTTAGCATTTGAGTCATGTCGGTCATCTATCTAACTTCGTTCTCGAGATAAACGAAGGACAGACAGTGGGAATTTATAGGTCTACAACTTTTTAAAATTATAATTAGCTTTATAAACTTTAATAAGAATTTACTTTGGTGACTTCTAACGAGAATATGAATTTTTAAAATTTTGAATTGTAATTATCTGCATTCCGTGTTAAGTTTTTATGTCAGATAGTGTCAGTTCACACTACCTTCAATAAACGAGATTCTACTGTAATATGAATAAGAATTGTTATCAATACTTTTACTAATAAAGTCAGATATTATAATTCAGCATTTAAATAATCTTAATGTATAATACGTAGAATATTATTACATTTTAAAAAATAAATTTTAAAAACTAAGAGAAAATAAAATTCTCATTATGTTATCTTACCAGAACTACCTTGACCTATAAAGTAAAACTATGAAAAATGAGTAATGTAGGAAGACGAAATGAATTAAATGAAAAAAAATTAAAATTAAAGATATTTTTGAATCAAAATACACGGTTAAAGTTGTTAATATTGTACTAAATGATTAATATAAATGAAACTTTATAAAATAAAAAAATGAAATTAATAAATCACTTACTTTGTTAAATACGTCTTTCTTTAAAAGTAAAATTATAAATTGCAAAGAGAGTTACATTAACAGAATTATTACAGAATATTATTACATTAATAAAATTTATAGATTGAATTTGTGGTTTTATAAAATTAATATAAAGTTTCCGACACAAATATAAATTATATAATTAAAAAATATATCAGTGATTTCTTAGGTATTGAAGTACGAAATTCCATATCAGGAACCACGGAAGTGGCTCATTGCCAAGTAATTTTCAATGACTTTTTTTATTTGGATTAACCAGATTGTATATATATTATTTAAGAATGATTAAAATCAGTTAAGAACAGCTGCATGTAAAATAAAACTTGTTCAAAACGGAACACAATGGCACCGAGCAGAATATTTTGTTTACCAAGATTTTCGTTTCACGTTTTAATAAAAACGTAGCCCTCTGTAAAATGAAATGTAAAGGAGTAGTAAAGTTGAAATATTTTATAATTCATGCTTTTCCTACAACTCGTGTAGTAGAAGAAACGTTACAAAAATTCTACAAAATCTTACAAAATTGTTACAAAGGCATTGAATTACGAATTAACTTGCAACTGTTCCAAACAGGTTTTAATCGTTCTTAAAATAAGCTTAAAATGTATTTCGCTTGAGTAACTTTTGGACCATCATTCATATTCGTGAAATCCGAGTTTACAAAGAAAACTAGTCGTAGAATTCATATTAACACGAAAAGAATTATTACAGAAAATATTAAATTCATAATTCATGCAAGAAGTTCCGTATAAGAGAACTGTATCAGTAGATAAATAGATGATACTGTACAAGAGAATTGTATCGATAGGAGTATTAATTTGCGAAGTATAAATGAGTAAATTAAGTATTTAATTTTACACAAATACAATACGTACAAGTTATATAAAACGTCTGAAATCACGAATGAAAGATTTTTAATTAAACAATATGCAACACATCATTAAAGAGTGTGATCAATATGTTTCACTTTAATCACTTTTGTTTGAAAAAAACGTGTTTTTTTTTGTATATGATGAATCGAGTGGGGTTAAATTTTGACAGTAAAGATGTTAATCCACATATGCTTCATCGAATACAAGAAAAATAACTAAATATTTCGTATACTGTACAGAGATGCGTGAAGACTGAAGACCAATATTTTAAACTTGAAATTTAAATTCAAATTCATTGCATATTTTCAAAAAAATGTCTTCTCTGAAAATACGTACTGCATATTGTTAGAAAATATACTGTTTCCTTTATATTTCTAGACTTCTCAAAAATCCTGCAGTTATTTTTAAACACAAAATAAGGTATAAGTTACTTATCCTATAGTTCACTCTTTAGATTTTGAAGCGAATAAGTTATGTTATAAGCATTTTAATTTTGATTACATCATATCTTATCACTATACAGAATGCGTATTTTAAAAATATTTTCAAACTAATAAGCTAGCACCGTTTAAAAAATTATTATCCTGCAATTACAAGGAAATTACAAAGCAGCCTTGACATAATACGGAATTTTATATATTACTTACCAATACGTCCCATAACTATAAAAAAGCATAAACTTAAAATACTGCATGAAATTATTAAAATGATGATTGAGTCAGAACTAGACTGAGTGTAAAAATTTTCTAATACAATCAGAATTCCAATGGTCCGATTATAGAAAACTTTATTCTAAATCATAACTTAGACCAGTAGTGTCCAAAACTTTTCGATTGACATGTCAAATCAAATTGCGCATAAACCGTGAGTATGCGTGCCACAAATATTTTATATATTTCTATTATTTATAAGTGATGTATTACATATGTTCGCTGGCCGGATTAACGCGAGCCGCGGCTGAATTTAGCTTAAGAGCCGCTGTTTGTGAACTACTGATTTATACAATACTTTGTGTCATATAAACCACAACCATGGGCAAATAGTTGACTACTTATCGTTACTAATCGGTGACTACTTTTTTATATCAAAGCTATAGCTTAGACCACGCTAATGATAGGCATAAACCAATGTTTCAATCTACACCAGGGATAGGCAATCTAAGGCTTGTTATGCTTTATGGTATGGCTTAATAAAACAAAGTAATAGTAATTTAATTTTGCTTTAATGAATTTTGACTTGTTAAAGTATGTTTATTCTTTTTTGAATAAATACATCTATTTAAATATAATATGAACGTAAGTTACGTATATATACTTTTCATGCGTGAATATTGAATGTATAAATTTGAATAATTTGCAATGCAGCATGCGGCTCAAATTAGATCCATCCAAATAAAGCAGAATGCGATTTTATTAAAAATATTAAGAGCAGGAATGATAGCGTGAACACTTTGTTCTCCAGATTTTACCTCAAATTTATATTCTGTAATTTTGTTAAAGATTTAGTGTTTATTCTACCCTTGCCTGAAAATCTGCTGAACTCAAAATTTAAATCATTGTTACAGTTATCGTATTAAAACAGATATGCCTCTTCCAGTTTAGCAAGAAAACAGATATGCCTCTTCCAGTTTAGCAAGATGTCTTCCGTATCATCAATAGCATTCACATCGAATCAAAATGACTGTTTGAGGTAATATTTGATTTGTTATGCTATAAATTAACTTTTAAATCAATTCTATAAGTCTTCTAATTAAAAATTATATATCTTTTCAAACTTGTAGTCATCTTTGTATCACCCTGCAGTATGGTGCGTTGACAATGCAGTCTACTACTACTTCTATTATTATGTAGTATCATTACGGTGCATTCTATATGTACTCTATTATATTGTTTTTGAAAATTTTATACATTTGCTTAAAAAATATGACAATTAATATTATCTTGCATTAATTTATCATGTAATCATTTAAAATCATTAAATTTTTGTTAAGCTATTTTAATTTTATAAAATATTTTAATTCTGTAGTTTGCATTTATTTATTTATGTAATAACAGCATAATTCTTTATATAATTTATTATTAAAATTTTTATTAAGAAAAGTAGTAAAACTTTCTTATAAGTTTTAAAATATGATTCTGATTATTATTTAATAAAATAAATGTACTCACATCGACGTCAGACTGTAAAAAACAGTTAAATATATCTTCAATTTGTCGGTATGTGTTGTTTATTTCTTTATTACAGATTTTAGATTATTTAAGAAAATTTCAAATACTTACAAGGACATTTGATAACTAAATAGATTAAAATTAGACACAATAAAACAAAATTATATAATAAATCAGTAAGAAAAATGATTATAAATGAACTAATTCAATAAAAATAACTTTTTACTCACATCTAATTCAGGCTAAAAAAAATAGAAAAATCATGTAAGTAACATAATCCTTCTTTTTAGTTCTGGTATGTCAGTGTCAATTACAAATACTTTGAAACTCCAATATATTAAAAACACAGCGAAAAAATTGTATTATATTTACAAAATAGTTGACAAAAATGAAACGAGAAATACAATGGAAAAATATTCTGTAGCAAAAATTTTCTAGGTCCCTTGAATGTAAGACCTAAAATAGATGGCCCTGCTGGCCCTCCATAAAAAATCTTGGCAATTAGAAATTTTTACAGATAATTAAGATAATTTGATAATATTACGTGTGATATAAAGGTATAGATAAAGTATACAATAGTACATGATTAAGTACAACAATTGTTTAAATTTAAGTTAACTTACGTATGGATCCTTCTCTGCCTTAAGACGACAAAAAAGAATGACATTAAAAATAAACAATAAGTATTTGAATAGATTTCTGGATGGTTTAAAATAATGAATAAAAATGAAGATATAATTGTATTAAATTTAAAACATTACGCAAAGTTGAATTTAGTTTAAATTCTAGAGGTGTAAATTAAACCCAATGCACACAAGCAATGCAAACTTATAATGATAACCAGCGTCAGCATTTTTTTAAAAAGTCTCGGCCCTGTAGGCAGTAAGAAGGTCTCTATTTTCAGCAATCCACACAATGGGGCGGACAGATAGTGAGGGATGAGGTCCACACTATTCGTCCTTATACCTCAGAAAATAACAANAAAATTATATAATAAATCAGTAAGAAAAATGATTATAAATGAACTAATTCAATAAAAATAACTTTTTACTCACATCTAATTCAGGCTAAAAAAAATAGAAAAATCATGTAAGTAACATAATCCTTCTTTTTAGTTCTGGTATGTCAGTGTCAATTACAAATACTTTGAAACTCCAATATATTAAAAACACAGCGAAAAAATTGTATTATATTTACAAAATAGTTGACAAAAATGAAACGAGAAATACAATGGAAAAATATTCTGTAGCAAAAATTTTCTAGGTCCCTTGAATGTAAGACCTAAAATAGATGGCCCTGCTGGCCCTCCATAAAAAATCTTGGCAATTAGAAATTTTTACAGATAATTAAGATAATTTGATAATATTACGTGTGATATAAAGGTATAGATAAAGTATACAATAGTACATGATTAAGTACAACAATTGTTTAAATTTAAGTTAACTTACGTATGGATCCTTCTCTGCCTTAAGACGACAAAAAAGAATGACATTAAAAATAAACAATAAGTATTTGAATAGATTTCTGGATGGTTTAAAATAATGAATAAAAATGAAGATATAATTGTATTAAATTTAAAACATTACGCAAAGTTGAATTTAGTTTAAATTCTAGAGGTGTAAATTAAACCCAATGCACACAAGCAATGCAAACTTATAATGATAACCAGCGTCAGCATTTTTTTAAAAAGTCTCGGCCCTGTAGGCAGTAAGAAGGTCTCTATTTTCAGCAATCCACACAATGGGGCGGACAGATAGTGAGGGATGAGGTCCACACTATTCGTCCTTATACCTCAGAAAATAACAATCTTACGGCAGAGTCGACCTTTTTGTTGTATAAACTTTATACTGTATATACACTGCTGGACAAGTAAAATGCAACACTAGCAATATCTAGAGTCCTACATGGTGTTGTATTTTACTTGTCCAGCAGTGTATATACAGTATAAAGTTTATATACAGTGTATATATATATATATATATATTACAACAGAATATGCTAA